GGTGAAACCCTGATATACAACAGTTACGCATCTGTAAAATCCTTGGCAACTATGTTCCACAGAGGGTCGTTCTTATGGGCGAAACATCTGACACTCAAACGCTTCCAAGCAGACCGTATAACTAAGACCTAAGCCCAGCGTTTTCCATATAAGTTCAGGCATCTGAAACTGCACGTGACCGGCAATGACGAAACAATGGCAAAACTGCATGAACAAATAAACTTTCAGTACTTTACGCGTAAGCTGGTGATCATATTAAAACCATAAAACACGGTCGATTTATACGCTGCAAACAATATGATTAATCGAGCTATTGATCAGTAACGGTGCCTCAGAACCTTCTCAAACTTGGAGAGTCTTGAGTTCAGAAGTTCTTTATGTTTCGCCAGTGTTGTAACGTTTGGACCCAGGACTACCAGCCGTAAACCACATTTAAGAAACCAAACGTCGGTACCTGTCAATCATCCGATTCACCATGCTGCTTCTGTCGTGTATAAATCGACCGTGCTTTGTGTAATGTACATAAATATGCCGCATACATAGATCATACGTCGAAGGACGATATTTGCTTTACGTTGACAGACATCGTTTCTTCCGAACGACAGTGCAAGCCGTAGACGAATGATGAAAACAAGTTGGTCCTGACTTCATCAAGGATTAATGCGAACGGCTAAGCTTTACTGTGTCATTCTAAAGTTTTGAACAACAATAACGATTTAAAGTAACAGCAGTACCGAGATAAAGTACAAAAAGTCTGCAATCTAAAAAACAATAAATGCTTCGAACAAAACCGGATAATTCATGGTTCAGTCGTACGGCAAACCATTGGACCGGGAAGCATCGACTATTAATTAGCGCAACTCCTTCACCCAACATTCCTCATATGGAGTCAGTTGCATTAGCGATGTAGTATATGCTCCTTAACACAAACCTACATCGCTTATAACGCAGAACGAGAAACAAACAACCAGACCTTTGCTAAAACAGAAACAAAATTATAATCGATGTAGTCTTTCTCTCAGAAACAGGGAAAATACCTTCAAAAGCTTTTTCACCGCAACTTACGAAAGCTCTTCAAAAATAGTTGGAAAAATGCAGTTTACACCTCGAAAATCGACGAGAAAGAACTAATATAAATTATTGACGTCTTCGTAAAAAGCGCCGTTCCACTTTTTCTGATTTCGCAGATGCTCAGGTACATTTTCGTGGTTAAAAGGACAGTGCCGGCAGTTGTTACCGCAACATTTGCCTCTGAGCAAGTGCTGAGTGACATTCATCACCAAATACTTCGTTTTGGGGTCATTATAAGTCAACTGATGATTTCGCACCGAGATCCAGTGAGCCGTAACGATATCCCGGCGGTCAGGATCAAGTTTTGTGTAATCGTCATACGTCACCTGACATTTCTGCATGCTGACCTTCCACATGTTAAATGGTAGCTTTATCCTTTTACCGGCCTTTGACTGTTCCCAAACCACATCCTTCGCGAAACGGGAGATTTCCTTTTCGTCCATCGGCTTCAGCTTCAAAGGCAGATGCCTATCGGGTTCCTTGTACACGGCAGCGGCATTGGTCTCCGGCTTCTGTTGCTCCAGTAATGACTGGTCACTTTCAGACAGTACAGCGATGACCTCGGCAGAATTTGAAACAGTCACTGTGGACATGGGCGAACGGAGATGACTAAAAACATTTTCATTAAACCCACAGCAGAAAATCAACATTTTAGCTTCTTAACTAGCCACCTTGCAACGAAACGCGGCGCACTTCGCTTCGTCAAAAACGACGACCAATACAGCGTCCTCAACGCTGACATGAACATACCTTCACTGCAGCGTCCTTCATAGAAGGGTCTAAAAACCAAGCAATCAGTTGACCGGAACTAATAATAAGTCAGTTTCCCACATAAACTTTTCACGAAGTGAGACATGACCTCAGAATGGAGCTAAAATGGTAGAACACAGCCTCAAGAGTTAAAACTAAACCTACAAGGACCGGGTACAAATTACAACACAGCTGATTTGACTGCTTCTGAAACCAAACTAAATGAATCCCTCGTCGTACAACCGTTACTTCTTCACCAGAACAAATTATCAGGTTACTGAGCACAAGCGCAGGATTATTTCTTAGACTGAGCAAACGAAAGTGTTCGACCTGGAAGTCTTGCTTAGGGCAATACGCCGGATAAATCGAAAAGAATAAGTAACAAAACGATACCACAAAAGACAGCAGGCACTCAACACCTTCATTCGCCCATGCACGGCATCCTGATCAAACTACGAAAAACAGTCGTTCGACTATATCCGTAATATAACAACTAATACATACGAATACGCACTTCGATATTCAGTGTTAGAAACTACAGTTTCATATAAATTGGATCTACATGTACTGTGTCAATAACTCAAATAACCCAAAATATTTTTCTCCGTCGTTGAAAAATAACGAATGTGAAGTATAATTTTCAACGAACCACAAAGTAACTCCATCATTCTCCATCTACTGCAGTTAATCATTAGTATCTGAATGCAAATTGCATCATTACGTAATTTCCTGACTGACGCCTGAATTGCGCCGTTGCCTCACCCGTTCAGCAAATATTTCCAACTGCAAATCAACTATTCCTCGAAATATAAAGCCTACGCTTATATATATTTATGACTCTTTCAATCTCTTCTCCTCAGAACTTTGCCTGTACCCTATCTAAAGCTTGGTACATCCACTTCCCATTTTCAGTGTTTCTCGTTTGTCATTCTTACCCCCTCAATTTTGCCACCCATTTTCTGACAATCTTCTTCCTTGCTCAAGGCTGTTTCTAGCTGTGATTGATCTTATAAGCGTTCTGTTCTTCCTTTTTCCGGACAAAGCGATCAATTGAATCCTACAGCTATCGATCGGAAAGCAAAGATAATAAATTTCGATTTTAAAGCATATTTCGACTTGAGAGGTGCCGAGTTCGATTCCGTTGGAGGGAAATCATTGTATTTGTCACCAGTTAATTTAAACCGCGGATTTACGATACTTTCCTTCAAACCGGAGTTATCATCTAATATTGTTCAACACTGATTTATCGTTGCAAGATAGCATGTAGCATTCCTCTACAGACAGCAGAGAGTCCAGGAGTTAACCTTTTGTTTAGTAGTGAACACGTGATTCACAGATTAATATACGACGATATGTTCTCATATTATAGGGTGCCTTTGAAGATATGGCGCGATACGCCCTTAACATAGCGCGACGACGCTGTTCTTGAATCACGTCATTGCAGACATCTCTTGTAGATGTGCTGTTTTCTCTTGACCCTTTTGGCCAAAACGGATGTCCGCTGACTACAGAACTGTAAGCATCAATTTTTCCTCTACTTCTTTTGCTTGAAATGCTTAACATCCTGAGAAATTCCACTGCATGACAATCTGTCGAAATCATTCTTGAAGGGACGCACAACTGCAATCACTTTAGGCTGGTAATCTGTCCGTTTGCAAAGATTTTGTTCGTCAGTGCAAAAGTGACATCGACGACGCCACCTTTGTCCAGCTTAAAAACAAGTACTTAATGGTCGCGACAGGACGTTGTGAAAACCTCTCCAAGCCAATTTGATCTTATCCCCAGCACCGTTAGTCGTTGTTCAAATGTGCTATTACTTCAATATCTCGAAAATAAGAAAGCAAAAAAGAAGGTACTCACGGTAGGAAAGTTCGTCTTTATTAGCTTTCATAATTTGGAGATTTCACGACCTTTCCTATGCCAAAATTAGCGGTGTGGTGCTAATCTCCTCTTATATGCCACCAACCAGCAGTGCCTTTCTTAATAGGCAAGGCAGCTATAGGGCAACTGCAAGATGTCGTTTAGTGTTTCACTCCCACGTCTGAAATTGATCTGTCAACCTCCTAAGGAAGAAGGACCAGTCACTCAGACACAGTCTTGAACTTTGAACCTATTAGTTACGATCTGGACGTTTTACTGAGTGAACAAACCATCCATCTTTAAAACAGAGCACGAATGGCTGAGCAGGACGGAGGTTATGCCGTAGCGAAAGCTGAAGCTGAACAAGAAGCGTCTAATCTTCAAACGCCCATTAGTTCAATATCCCCTCCATTTGAAAAGAACTATTCTGTCCCTATTTGACACTAAACAGTCGAATTATTTAGATTGTTGGGATAAGCAAAACGTTCTACAAGAAAACAAGCCATGAAGAGAACATTATGCAAAATATCATGGCGCAACTCAATATCATGGCACACAATTCCAAAGTGACTACATCAACACTGATACTTGATGAAGATTGCAGTATGCAGAAATGTGGTAATGCATACGTCGAGCACTTGACAAACACCTGATGAGCGGACATTGAAACATTTAAACATTGTACACGTTTGCATATGCGCTAACGGCAATTTAAATGCTTGACAAATTGAAACTTTAAAAATGTGGACAGTTTTGCCGTATGAGTGTTCCTACCGGTCTACGACATGTTTCGTGTTGAACAACCACTGAATGGGATTCTTCTAAGCCAGTAATTTAGCTTGTATATTTAGTTGCAAAACTTGATAATTTTACTGCATTGGCATATGCAAATTAACGGATATAAACCTGGGC